ACCAAGTCATAAAAAAGTAATGTTTTAAATACTACTGTATGTTTGATAAAAAAAAAACCTCGACTTTATTATCTCGGGTTTGACTATTTTAATAGTTAATACTAGAGTATAGCGGGATTCAATAACTCACATCTTATGAATTAATTTAAAGATTCTCACGAAATTTTTTGTCTCTTTCTCACTTAACGATAATTATTTGAACTATGTAATTATTATCCTTCTTTATTAGGAGTAACTATATTCAATATACAATTTAAACCACATATGGCAAGTTAGAAATTTACAGCACTACACATGCAAGCAAGAGGAAGTAAGCAACTCGAGTATTATGAGAAAATAAAAAGGACGTCTTCAGCAGAAAATTTACCTACAATAAAAAGTAAAATAGTATCACCCTAAAAAGTGTGAAGATCATTTAGACGAAATGAATATTATGATTGAATAAATAAAAATACAATAAAAACACTGTGTATGCTTGGGTAGCTCGAGTAAGTATATTAATTGTATAAAATTTTTTGGAAGCTTGTTTACTCTGGGACTGGATTATTCAGAACGACACAACGCTGTTCTCACAAACGTTTGTAACTCTGGGTAATCGAATCATAGCTAGGAGCGTGCAAGGTTACCCATGCCGCAACACTAAAATGCAACAATTAAATTTCAACTCAATTACAATTTTATGACGTGATGTTTTCATTTAACTTTAAAGTTTAGTGCAAAACTTTTGTGCATACATATCGACACATTGCATGTAAGGACTTAGAAGATTTTTTTTTTTTATAAAACATACAAATTTTAATAAATATCCCTTCAACCGAAAAAATGCAATTTGAAAAATTAATATGCACGGTGAAAATAATTTAAATATAATTAGCTAGAGATTTTTTCAAAATCCCTATTACGTATCTATCGTTGCAATGTTTGACAGGTGAGATAGTTCTAAATTGCTATAGAAACACTCACCCTTCATTGATTTCCGACGTCAAATCATTCACAACGATGATAATTCATGTTCTTTTCAAGTGATTGAATCGTACAAAATCAAACCAATAGCCCAGCATGTACAGATGCCTTTTTCAAGAAACCTAACTCGTAGAGGTGACCGGGGTCTGGCAGTATGGACACTCGCGTTGATTGAGTGCACAAGTTGAACAGACCACGTAGTGGTTGCACGGCGAGAGTGTTACAGTACGGTTTTGTTCCTCGCAAACCATGCATTTTGTTGCCGTTTCTCGGTACAGCACCTGAAACGCCAACAGTTCACTGCCAATGCCTTACTTGCTAAGCTCGTTGTAAAGTTTCTTAATAATAATACAACTCGGGCTTTTTTTATCTTCAAAATATAACTATTGAACTATAGAATGATAGGGGAATCTGCACTTGTGGTTCTTAAAACTACAATTGCGCATTTAACCTAGAGTCGAGTTTTGTCAAATAATTTGGTCAAAATTGTATATTGCTCCAGTAATTATTCATGCTGGACTCATAACTTTGCGTTACCTTTTCCACCTCTTCAAGGTCTGAACGAAGCTGAGATTGCATTGACTTGAGGACCGCAATTGGTAAGGATTTAAGATCATTAGTTCTTGTTAGTGTACTAAGAAATGATCCGTTAGTCGCTTCATTTTCAGCCTTCAGTGCTTTGAACTTCATCATTGCCTAAGACGGAAAAAAGTTTTATTTTTAAAATATCAAGCAAAACAATCAAAAGAGATCAAATATTTAAAAAAAATGACATGCCTCATCTCTTTGTTGTTCTGCTAAAGCGGCCTTGCGCTTAGATTCTTCACATTCAATTTGCCAAGCATTACATGCAACTCTTGCCTGATTAATACGTTCATCCCAAGAAGCTAGCTGTGCACGACTGGATGTCAATTCTTCTCTCAATCTTTGTACCTGCAACTTGAAAATTTGATATTGTTTTTCATGATAAGAAATAATTTTTGGTGCCTTTTTAATACAAGAAACTCACTTCAGATAGTGATCCTGTAGTATTATTATTACTAGGGCTGCTAGAAAAAGCATTAACTAACGGCGATGCTCCCAGTGGCTGAGTGCGAGATGATGGGGACAATCCTTGATTTGCAGCAAAATCGAATAGGCTACTATTAAAAGCTCCAAGTTTTGACATTGAACTGCTTGACTGAGATATGTGATTACTGAATGGATCTGATACGTGATTCATAAATGAGGACATTGACTGAAAAACGAATCATACGTGTTAACGTTTGAAAGTATTGGATTGATTAAAAGGTTGATAATGCTGTTTTTTTTTCTTACCGATTCGATTGAATCTTGATGGGAGAATCTCGAGCCAGCAGTAAGAAAGCTGCTGGCTGATTGGGAAGGCTGAAGAGGACTTGAAGTAATTGGTGAGAAATTAGAAAGGACTGTGCGTTCAGTCATTCCAGGAATATTAACTGGTGCTGAACAAGATAATAGTCCTGAGCTTGCCAAGCCTGCGGATATAGAATTGCTGATTGGTGAATTAGTATCTCTATGTATGGAATCAACTAAACCAAGAGGGTCTTCTAAACTTAAATCGTCCAAAGCATTGCCTAAAAATGTAAATTAAAAAAAATTATTTTTGTTTAACAACTTGTAACTTAGGAAAAATTTTAACTCTCACCTAAAACTGATTCAACAGTATCATTCTGATAAAAAGAGTTGGAAAGTGATGAGGAAAGAGCAGTTTGAGGTGTCAATGAATTAAAATTATAAGCAATGTATAAATTCTGCTTTTTTTGTGCTTTTTCGGCTTTTGTCAGTAAAGGATCACTTTCAATGGAAATCAGTTGTTTTCTTACATCATTCTAAAACATAAAAAAGCAATTTTACAACAGAGCGATGATTTGAAACATTTGAAAACCAACAAGGTAACTCACTGCTTGAAGCATAGAGGGATTATAAAGCATGTTTACAAGCTTTTGCTGGTTTGTAGAATTCTGATGAAGCTGTGCTCCTGGTGCTTTATTGTGAGAGCCATTACTGCCTAAACTGCTAGTACTTGCTGATTCGGATATTTCACCGCTACCGTTTTGTAACGTGGCCAACTAAAAAAAAAAAAAAAAAAAAAAAAATTGAAAGCATTATTTTCAACTAAAATAGTACACGTGACTAAAATTGACAACACACTGCGAAATATGACCAAGTAGTCACGAGAAAAAAAAGTAAAAGAAACTTACACTACTGTCGTTGATAGTCTTGTCATTATCGTGATTTCGTTTATCAGATGGCAAAGCATTGCTCAACAAATTGACTAAATTCGTGCCGCAATCCAACGACACGGACAACACTTCTCTAGCCAAGCTTAAATCGTCTGCAGGAATGACCGCTGGAAAAAAAATCACAAACGTTAAAAACCAATGTAAAGTAGGAAGAAGAAAAAAAAAACATACTAACAACAATACTCACGATCGACGTGGGCGAAGGCGCAGAAAACGCCACGCGGACAGTATCCAGCCTGTTGCACGTCGTTGCATTTCGTTGACTTGTAGATCTCGGGATGAAATTGCTGCTCGGTGCGCGTATGACAGTAAACGCAGCTGTCACCTTGATCGCAGTGTCCGGGCTCGCCCCACTCCTCGCCGTGTTTTACGTTTGGACACGGCGTTGAACTGTGTCATTTTCATCGAGTTAAAAAATAATAAGCAGTAAGTACTAGGACGTTGGAAAAACCAGTCCAACTGTTTGTTATGACACGCAAGCATGTGGAATTTGTACGTAAAGGGGGTAAAAGTCAGAGCTCACCGGTACTTGTACTTTCTCGGACTCCTGCGTTTGTCCTTGCTGTTGTGGTAGGACGGACAGGCGTAGCCCTGCCTGCAGAGCCTCGGGGGTCTCTTGCACGGCTCGGTCTTGTAGTTGCTGAGCACGTAGGTCGTGTCCTGCCACTTGGGATCCTCGTTCATGAGATTGCGCTCCTTGTCGAGGATGTTGGGCCCATTGGCACCCCCGCTCGAGTCGAGATCCGGGTTCTCCATCGCCTGGATCTCCTTGATGTCGTAGACCGCCGGTCGGAGGTCGTGGTTGCCGTGCGCGAAGGCACAGTGGGGACCATTTTTCACGCAAAAGCCACGCGCGTCCGTATCGTGGACGCACATGCAGGTCTTGTAGTAGCGCAGGTGATACCGGCGCTCCGTGTCACCGGCCGTGCGATGCAAATTTGGACACCTGATCGAAAATAACATTTTTGGTGTTACATCCACACTTTTACTAAACTTATTCATTCATTTGTTTGCAAATGAGCTCGAAAGGAGGACTGGATAGTGTAGTGTTGGTGAGTGCGGCAAACGATCAATATTATTATTGTCTACTTTTTGTGACCATTAAAAAAAAAAAAAAAAAAAAAAATCCTACATCGATTGAATCGATTAGGGATCCTACCGATTTTCGGATTTCAAACCAGACAACAAGATGTAACAACGATTAATTATCATCAGCAGCATGACAATAGATTCACTCTGATAAATAGCTATCCCGTCACCCGCGGCATTAATGATTATATTATCCTTATGTACGAATCAGTTGTCCGCGTAAAAAAAAAGATGGAAAAAAAAACGACAGTGACGAAACACCCTTTGTACACTTTTGGTACCAAAACAAGCTCGACAGGGGGGTGGGGGTGGTGGTGCGACAGGTACCGAAACAAAGGGACGAGAGAAATAAATAAAGTGGATGGTCGGAACAAGTCGATAGAGAAAGAAAGAAGAACGAACATGTATATGTATAAGTATAACTATTTGGATATATATGGTGCGTGTGTATATATATATATATCTTGTGCATGCAGGGTACAACCTTCAACGATACCTATATTGATTTTTCTCTTTCACCATCGTCGTTGATGTGTGGGCCAAAGTATTAGCAATGGAACAGCAAGGTATATACATATACAGTATAGAGAAGCGTCGAACAAAGATATCTGATACACACACACACACACATATTTAGAGTATGGTGTGTATAAATGTATGGGGCTTCTCTTTTTTCTCTCTACTCCTCTCTTCGCCCCTTCTCAACACTGTACGAAACTACTACGACGTAGTAACTCGCTACGTGCACGTGGTGTGTATACCCGTACAATGCGTATATGATTGCATATAGGTAACATACCATGGTTTTGCCACGAGGTTTTCCATTTTCCCCTGAGATACTCGTACAATTCCTTTGTCAAGCGCGTCCTTTTCTTTATTTATTTGTTTACTATCAAAGAAAACACGTGGTTTCATTGTTTATTCACATTACCAATGAATATTCATTATTTCCTTTATTCTTTTTTAATAAAATTTGCGTACGTATGCGGTGTACACAATATTAATTATGTTTAAATGACAGGAACAACAAACATTTTTATTTGATCAACTGCTATCTCGGTATGCATGCAATCACGATGTAATCAGCGACATTTGAACGTGAAATAATGCACGTAATAACAATGAAAAAAACAAGAAAATATTACAAAAAATACATTTCACACTGGACGCGACAAATGTGTGCAATCTGTGCATCATTATTTACATTACCCCTGGGAACGGGTGTAGAGAAGGAAATTATTGTAATACAGTCTCGGAGCAAATATGACACAAAGGACACTACTCTGCAAGGGGCAGTAATGAGACGCTCTCAGTTTGGGTGCAGCGGGGTCTACATACGGAACAAATGGTAAATCTCGAGAGATCTTACAAATTTAAGGATGTAACATTTTTTTTTCAATCGATGAAATTGTAAGTCTACAGTGATTAAAGCTTTAGATTACTATACATCGAAGTGTGCAATCGAGATACATTGTTTACAGCGTTATTTTACAAATGAGTACACGTACACACGCACATTTTCATTCTTATACATATTGCAATTGATAAAAAAAGAAAAAAAAAAGTTTATCGTACAACAGAATGTAATTGAAGGGAGAGAAAATCAACCAAGCTGTGTATATATTTTTATAATATCCACGAAAAGATAAGCACCGGGATTTTGTGAAATTTACGACACAAGTATAAAAATAACACGATCCCAGATAAATACTCTGGTTCGTTGTAGCATTCGTTAGATTTTTTTTTTTTTCATGTCTAAACGTCCGACAGACTACAAAAAAGAATCAGACATCAACTTTCGCTACGATTTGATCACGAAAAGTATCGTTTTAGTATCATTTACTTATTCTCTTGGAAATTACAACTATTTACAGATAAGTAAATCAGTTCAGACTCGTCATTTTTCAAATTTCTTTGGCCCGAAGAAAAATTTATAACGGACAGACACACCCACGCAACCTTTATATTTTTAGAATAACGCGTATTTGAAGAGGTGTGAGGTGCGAGATGCACTTACATAAAAAAAAATGCACACGCACTCGTGCATGCACATTGCACATTGGTCATTACCTATATTCTTATATCTTAGAACAGTTGCACACTATAGCCGCTTTCACTCGGGCCATCGTGCAGATAAACAAAACCGAACGCGCGCGTCCCCGCTCCTCTCTTTCTCTCTCTTACTGCGTCGCACATTCGATCCTTTTTCGGTGTCTTTTTCTCTTCTCTCCTGCTTCTTTTTCGACTACTTAGGTGTGTATATTTTTACGCGCAGATATTTCTCTCTCTATCTCTCTTATGCTCGTGCGTGACATAATACCTATACTAATTTAAAACACCCGGCAGCTGCTTTTTTTCTGCCAAATTGCATGCCAACTATGGTTTCGTTGCTATTTTTTTTTTTTATTCTATCAATTGAACGTACTTTTGTGTTGACGAGCTTCTTGGACGAAAAAAAAAAATGTACGTAGTTTTTTGGTACCCACTAACAAACTTTTTCCTCGATAAGAACGTTTTAGACTTGTAACAGCATTTATTCGCTACTTCTACTTACGTGGACGCATCGTCAAAGTAATTTGAATTTGAATACCTACACGGAACCTATGAAACGCATCCTCTAAAAGTGATATATTAAAATAGTTGCACACTTAGTCAGGGATTTCAATATATATTTCAGAAAATTTAGATTCGACCTCAGCAAAAACTGAGTGTCGCCATAGTCACTGTTTGCCAATTTAACACCTGGCACGTCAAAAAAAAAAAAAAAAATGAAAACATTAGCATAGCATAAAAAATGAATGGGGCGGGAAAGGAAAAGGGAGGAAAAATTAAGGGTCATTTTCGAGCTCTTGAATGAATAATGATGACAATGATGAAGAGAAAAAAGTAAATAGAAATGGAACAAAAAAAAAAGGAAAAACAAAAAGTTACTCACTCGTCGCCATCCTGACAGATGCCGGTGGTCTCGTCGTACTTGGCGCAATAATTGTCGGCACTGTAGTTGAAGGTGCGGTCGCGTTTTCTGATAGGTCGGCGTCTACGCTGATTCATGAAATGCCAATTGAAGCAGGTAAAGGGCCGGTGCTGGGTACACTTTCTCTGAATGAAAAGCGGACACTGTTCAACCCTGAAGTCACGCAAATACTTGGTGTGCGAGTCGACGTTGGGCCCAGTGCCTCCCACACCGTTATTGCTGCTGCTACTGGTGCTTATGTTGCACATGCTGTTATTGTTGAGGACGAGAGAGCTGCTGATATTTCCAACAGCAGCAGCAGCAGCAGCGGCCCCGGGGCCGGCGCTGCTCGCGCTGCTACTGCTCGTCGACTTGCTGCGCTCTCTCATTGCCAAAATTCGTCGATTCGAGCTATTGTTACGGCTACTGCTGTTATTGTGGTGGCTGTTGTCGTTGTTTTTGGTAATATTATCATGGGTACCGCACATCCGATGACCTTCCTATCCGTTAGATATGAGCCTGCGTAGGAATATATGCTGCACGTATTTTTTGTGTTATCAAATTAAATAATACACAACTGCAGCGAGAGCTTGCACAATAAGTTCTTTTTTCTCTCTTGTTCAATTGTTGTCGTCGTACAAAAATCAAGTTACTTGTCAAACTATTGCACCGTATAATAATAATAATAATAATATACACTTTGCAGTTCTACACACCGTACATTGTGTACGCACTACCTTGTATCTATAAGTACGCTCTGCGCAAAAATATTTCAGTAATGGTACACATCAACGCACATGCTCACGCACCTTTTTCTTCTACGCGGGTTTACGACTTAATACGTGGACTGCTGGATACCTACTGGCACAAGGCGCGAGGCGCGACTCCAATTCTGACTCCTCGGAATGGCCGCCACTGTATACTCTTATTGTAGCCGGAGAGCCTGTTGCACTGATGCTAAGTATTGCTGCTATAGGTAATACTTATACAGAACTCATCCTTATTCGGCTCATCAGTTCTGCGGCTGTATCTTTTGGCACCCCGTGACGCGCATCACATCACAATCACATCGGATCAAAGGTTCAGTGGAGCTGCCTCGAGCTTCCCGGAGTCCATATACTTACATACACATATATTTACTTACGCTACTATTGTTATACTTACTTATAAATTTAATACACTTTACTTGCAATGTACGTACCTATTACATTCATACACCATTTACTACACACTTAATTCACTTGACTTGTAAAAGCATTTACATGTACTTATACAAAACATTGTAACGCAAACACACTTTTTTTTTCTTAATTCATGGCTCTCTCTTTCTTTGTCTTTCCTTTGCCATATCGCACCTTCGACTATATAGATATAATGTTTAGATACATCATCTCTGTCGTTCGCGTGCTCCAGATAACCTCAAACCACCAAGGTAACCTTCTGTCCTCTCCTACAATCCTTTACGCTCACTTTATACCGTTAAAATCACTCGAATGAACAGACAACTGAGACAATATGTCACTGCTGCTTTTTAAATACTTGTTTTTAAGTTAAATACAAAAAGAATACATATTAACCATGTATTTCAGCACTTCACCAGAGTCTAGTAGAGCCGTCAACACACTTTCACTTATTTGCATGACGCATCGGAAATAACATATATACGTTCACGTCTACCAATCATCTCGTATCTTGTAGGTACCTACTCTTACATCTCTAAAAACATGTAATATGCAAGACAGACCTCTATTTTTTGGAGTCAATTCTGTTTTCTGTATACACATATCCGCAGGTTCCGCAACGTAACGTAACTCACGCAATTTTTCTCGCGCACACGCCCTCTTCTGCACGGCATTATGGCAGTGGCAGAGCAACAACCAATCCGGTCTTCGATATCCGTAGTCACGTGAGCTTCTTTTCCCCCCCTGACAGCAATGCCTCACTTGTCAGCAAAGTGGGGAGTCCGGGGAGTCAATTCAAGGTCATCTGTGTTTTGGTTCGTGGCGCTCTAGTCTCTATAATACCGGCTTTACCATAGAAATGCTCTCTGTAAACAGAAAAAAAAAAAAAAAAAAAAAAAAAAAAAGAATACGCATGTGTCGACGTGTGCCTTTTTTATTACATGCCTTCCGCTTTCTACCCCGATAGGTACATCAGTAAGTATTGATACTATATGTTCTATAAATAACAGGTAACCAACCCTCGAAATTTCGAAATTTATATCTGCTGACGACCGATCGAGCCTCGCTTGTTGTTGTCACTCATCATCATCAGACGGATGAATCGATAAAAATAATAATAGCACTCATTTTAATCAATTCGGCTCTCAATATACTTAACACGCAACTGTCGAATAATATAGAGTGACGCTCAAAGTAGCGGATACCTACATACATATATATATATACACATATGTTCGTGAACTTCAATGTCGGCTTATTTATTTTATTGTACGATAAAATGGCAAATAGTCGGGTTTGAAATGCTAATGTTTTCATTAATTACGAGCATCTGTCTCAGTAAGTATGTCAATAACAAGAGAGATAGAAGTAATTACTGCCTCCCTCCCTTCTTTTTTTTTTGTAAGAAGAGTTCTACTCCGATTTTTTGAAACCCCTCGATGTAATGATGGGTAGGTACTTCAGCCAACTATTTTTCATGTAAATTACGCGTAAACTTGGCCTCGAGTAACATCAAAGTTTAAAGGTTGATTTTATACGTAATAAAAAAAAAAAAAAAAAAAAAAAAAGCTCGAAGCGAGCTATAAAAGTTGCTATGATTTAATTATAATTTCTCATGCGATAGCTGATTTCCTTGGAAAATAAATAATACCATTAGAGTTTAAAGAAAACGTATTTTATTTTTGAAAACCTTTTCTTTTTTTTTCTATACAAAATTGGTAAAACCATCGAGTTTTATGGAAGACAGTTTAAGACAGTGATCGTAGAACGAACAAGTACCCAAAAAAACGTCGTGACTGTTGGAATCGTTCAAAAGTTTGAGCTTTTTTTCGACATTTTTATTCAAATGAGACCAATCGCAGCCGTAGGCGATACTTTGGTGATCATCGTACACTGCGACAATTTCTGGAGTCTCGTCGACTTCAGCGTCAATGATGATAAAACCGCCGTACATGCCGGCTGCCAGTAGATACTTGGCTTCGTAAGGATCCCATTTAAGCCGCCAGATTCCACCTCCCAAATTCAATTGCTCCATCGGCTGACGAAGATTTCTCGTGTCCCAGGTCCTTAAATTCTCGTCGTAGCTGCAATAATTGCGATGAACGATGAAAAAGACATTTTTCCCATTCCAAAGCATCCGAGCGTTTGCTTCGTGGTTTTTTTTTTTTTACCTTACCTCCCCGAAACCAGGTAAAACTGTTTTTTCCAGTTCGAATGAAAACTGGTAACTCCAGCTTCGTGGGACCGATTCGTAAAATTTGCTTTCAAAACATCTCCATCCATCCTTGTGTCAAATGTCAAAAATTTACCATCATCCCCGCCTGTTATTCAACAATGAAATTACTCTCTATACGGAGGCCACGTAAAATCCATTTGCCAATGAAAAACTCACCAGTGTAAACAACATTCGTATCCCAATAATCGAAGGCTGCTATCCACGCTTCAAAGTCGTGGCCGTGCCCAGAAAAAATTTTTCTCAAGCCGTTCGCGTCGTCGGACAATTGAAACAGCGATACCGAGCCGTGCGAATCACTGACTGTAATTTTCACGTTTGCATTGTCACTTGGTTCTCTTCTTCCCGTCGACCAGTCCAAAGACAACGCAATGGGCTGACTCTGGCCCTCGTCTCTGATTAAAACCTCAGCTACGATTGTCAAACGTGCTTTCTCCGAATCCTCGACCAACTCGTAAATCTGCAAGTGTCCTGTGAACCTCGCAACTCCCAGCAATACTTTACCACAGCACTTGACGTGTGCCCACTTGGTGTCCAAAACGCCGGCGCCATCCAAATGCTGTAGCAGTTTCAGTGACACTTGGTCTTCTTCGGCTTTTACGATTTGGAATAGGTAGATCCTCCCGACGCGCGTCTCTTGCGTCTCCAGTTGGTAAGTCCCGCACACGAAAATATCCTCGTAGCCCTCGGCTGGACACCACTCCACCGAGTCGGCGGAATACTTTGTATCGAAGGTTTCCAGCGTTTGGAATCCCATAGTTTTCATCAAAGTCTGCAAATAGATTGGATGCTCATTTTTGCGTCACTGATGCACTTGGGCCGTACTCATAAGGATGAGATATTATATTTTACAGCTAAAATAACGGCCAGTTTTTTATTCTATAGATTTGTTTCGAACATATGGCACCAACGCAACGATGAACGTTTGGAACCAGTTTTTTTTTCTTCATGTTTGCCACAAATCCAAGACCACTTAGTTTAATTATCTTAAATTCTTAAATAATGTAATTAATTAAGGGTATGTCCTACAAACAAAGCTTGACGTCTTGATTACACAAAAGAGATCAACTGGACGTTTTGTACTTATAAAGCAAAGTGGGACCCATGATACAACAGCAGAGATTTTTCGTGTACAAAAATAAAGCATCCGGAGCAGTACTGAAAAAAATCATAAAGTTGTACCTTATATTTTGATGAATATTTAAGGAAAAAATGCATTTTCATTTATGAGATCAAAATTTATTTTCCAAATCAATTTGATTACACAAATTCCTTTTTTAAAGTTATTATTATCATCATCATCATCATCATAATTATTTGGTACATGTTCTTACACCAAGTCCAATTGGCAAGCGTATATTTGGTGTTAAGTATTGAAATACCTTAAAAAATGTAGATAAACAATTATTTATAAGTAATTGGCCTCCTCAATATTTGTTGCATTGTTTTAGGCAGCATTTGTTAAAGATTAAATAGTAACTATATCACATCGGTGCTATCAAAATTGGCGATTGGCCGGTATAATTACAATTAATCTTACTTATATTTAGTGACTTATTTATTAAAGTTAAATTAATTATTAATACAATCATTTTATGACTGACATGAATTGACGATAGTACTCATACAATGAATGAAGAAGTTATGAATTATTTAAGAAACTTATCGTTTAGCCTAAATTCGAAATTGTGCTTGTTATGAGATTGATTTACAGAGAAATTTTACTAAAGGCCTTTGTACTGTATTAATTTTAATAATTTACAGATCCATGGTCCTTCTTAATTAGCTTATCACATACTTAAATTGCAATAAGATCCAAAAGTCTGCTTAAAATTAATCAGGTCCATTGGTATACATATGTAAATATTTGTTTACATTGCATCATAAATTGCATCAAAAATACTTTATCAGATAATACTATGTAAGTATACATACTAGCACCTACTAAATTGAAAAATGTTCAATGCAACGACACATTTTGTACAAACGTATCGAAAACTCTTTGAAAATCACACATTACACACAAAAACATCAAATTCTATGTAAATAACAAATGCATTTAACATTCAACATGTTAACTTTTTTTTTTTAACTCTTTGGTCTGTTGAGGAAAAACTGTATCCTACAAACAGGCAATAATAACAGTGAAGAAACGTTAAATAAATAATTATTCTAGTAAAAAATTCATTAATATTAAATGACGAACGTATACAACCAAGATAATCATCTCTCACTGACATGATGACTTTTCAGACTCGAGCATGCATAGCCTGACTAGTTGACGCGCCCGATTGATCAACTGTCTGACTTTTTCCAGCGAAGCTCGATGGCCCAGGTAGCAAGGACGAACATACAAATTCATCTCTTCTATGACGTCTAACAGCTCTGAATAAATGGAAGCTCCAGATGTCGGTTTGGAGGACGAGCTGTTGTTATTGTTGTTGTAACTGTTAATCAACGAATGCTGTTGCTGCTGCATCTGCTGTTGGTGCAATGCAGAAGGTCGGGGTTTGGGGATCGTTATTAGCGGTTCAACGATTTTTCTTGGCGCTTCCATGTTTTTTCCATTACTATTATAGTTCATTGTTCTGTTTTATGTGTTTTATTTCAATTTTTATATAAAATTTACGCAGCGTAAGTGTATTCAAAGACGCCAGTCTTTTTTTGCAGTCAAACCAAGTAATAAAAGGAAATAAGGGGGTGTTTTTTCACCTACCCTATGCGCATAACCTACAAAGTATACAAAATACTTAGAACCTCTGTACAAGAGTGCAGTATTTTTTTTTTTTTTTTTTTTTTTTTTTTTTTTAATTGAAAATAGAAGCGAGGTACTTACATGTCTTGAAAGGATATGACAAATTTGATTGAATTGACAGCAACTGTACGTTTGAGTGTCTTGAAAATAAACAGTAACACAGAATACAAACTTAATAGTAAGCAGATAAAAAAGTCGGACCGACGCGTTTATTAACGTAGGGCTAATAGGTACATCTTTTTTCGGTGCCGCGACGGAAATAATTTATCTGTTAAGTATGTATCTTATACAGTTTTTAATTCAAAAGATTCGATTGCACTCTCATCTTGTATATGTTACTTTTCATCTCCATCCTCCATCCCCGAATCCCCATTCCCACACATACTTAATAAGGTGGAAATTGGAAAAGGTGTATAGTGTATATATATAAAAAAAAATGACCTGCGCGCGCGTGTGCATCAGTGTGTGTACAACAAGCAGACGACAGCAGGCACACAAGACGACTAAAAGGTAAACAAGACATGTATACATATACATATCTAGAGTGCACGGTACGTATCTCGGTCGACTAGGTCGTGGATTGGCACGCGGGAGACGGTGGTTCAAGTCCCGGCCATAGTGCGACATTTTCGGTCAAGTACCTCTGTGATTTTTCACATGTGCTTTTTCACCACGCAATGCTCCTCGAGGAGGGGTTTAGGCGACCTTCTCGCAGCATATTTGCCTAATTTCCCCCTACCCCCTCCCATCTCTTTCCTTGTCCCTTTCCCAAGTGCTAAGTGCCCATTGTAGTGCCCTTATTAAAGGAGCCGAACGTAGAGCACTATAATATAAAATAAATAATAATAAAATCTATGCATATGCACCTCTTGATACAATGATTTAGATGTATCAACATTCGCTTNAAAATATATATATATATACAATGTACACATACAATAATACAATATTGTGCATACATTGCTTGTATTGCTAAAATTACTAAAAACAATACGAAAATAATGTAAGTACACATTTACTGCTGTTGAAAAAATGTCCCCCGTGTTAGAAAGCTAATTCAAAATATTTTAAAAGATCACCATGACATTACACCCAAAAAAAATTTTTAGAATTTAGCTTTTGTTCAAATCTTTTAAAAATATTCACTCATTTTATGCCTATAATATACATTACTCTGTCCAATAGGTGTTACCATACACTAAGTCTGTAATAAGTACCTACTTGCATTTTTTTTTTAACTTAAATTACAAGAAAAGAAAATTAATAAAATTGGGTGATAATATCCATCATTTCGTTCATTGGTTGAACCAAGTATTTAACTTATATTTGGTCATAAGAGTCAAGTTGATTCCGGTAAACACAGAAATCGTGTCCAATGAATTTTTTTTTATTTTGACTTTTCAATTTAAGAACCAGCTTAATCGTTAATTATCGCAAATAAAACAAAACATTTTTTGAAAAATCAAAAGCCTTTTATTACTTGATGTAGAATTTAATTTACCTGCACAACCAGCAGTTTATAGCATAATCCCGAAATTAAAAGCGTTTTTTTTTAATTATTAGTATAGATGAAAAATTCCTAAACTCATACTCAGATTTTTTCAAGTGACAAATGAATGACGTATGAAATTGAATAGTTTTTTTAGAAATTTAATCGTAGCTGTTGAGTAAAAAATTTTCTAGATTTCAAGTATTATACTTTTTGATCAATTTATGATTTAAGTAATTCCAAAGAAAATTATTTATGAAATTGGGAAATCAAACAAAGGCCCTAGCTTTTTTAAAAACAGTTTTGAGATTTAAATTTACATGTCGCGAATTATTTATATAATACGTGATAATACATTTGAAAATTGCTGGTAGTAAGTAGGTATACCTATGAGGCTCTTTTACAGTCAAGCTTGAATCAGATGGCGCCAGGGCACGTCGCGGCTGTCATGGCCGTCGCACTTACACACCGTCAAATTTACAGTTGTGTATTGTGTCCGTGAGCCTATCTGTGTGATGAGCAAACCAGAAAACATAACCTTTGTAAGTGATTGCTGTTGTTTGCAGACAATTTTTGTTTGCATTTACGTTTAAAGATAGTAGGAAAAATGAAGTGCAGTGTAATATCTTGCGATAAGAAAGTGAAATTTAAATTTCCTTCTGATAGTGCGATAAAAAAAAAGTGGCTCGAAGCAATTGAGAGACCAACATTTTTGGCGCTCCCAAGTCATGGCTTATGCCTCGACCACTTTGCCTCCACGAGTTCTGCTTTTCTTCCACTGACTCTTGCTCCTTTCCCATTTAAAAGCTTTTTCAATTCTGAAACTTTTAAGCTCCCATAATATTCTTTCTTGTCTTCCTTATTCATTTCAAAATTTCAAATATTGCGCTTTACCACTACACTTTAATTTTCTATATACATACAATACTGAAAAGTAATGTTGTGTGAGTGAGACGGCCATGACAGCCGCGACGTGCCCTGGCGCCACCTGATTCAAGCTTGACTGTAAAAGAGCCTCATAGGGTAAGTAAGTGTAAGGTACTGTGAATGAAGTGCGTGAAGTGTGCACCGTCTCCATAGGTCTCCACGTTTCGTGTGCTTCATTACTTATATAAATATATTATATAGACGTAGAGGTTTTGCGTTTTGCGTCTTCCGCCGTTTTTCAGAGTTTACGGAATAGAAAGAGATGTTCTGGTCTTTTTGTTTCTTGTATCGTTGTATGTACATTCATTTGTGTGCGTTTGTGTGTGTGTGTATAGCCATATGGATGTGATGCCTCTTGTGGTCGGTAACAAACTTGTCAAGCTACTCAGGCTTCAAATAAGTAAAAAAACATATTAAAAGAGAGTAGATACTTAAGTAGTTGTAAGCAAGATGGCAGCGACAAACTCAGGCAAAGTACCAGAAAAAAAAGAGGAGGCATTTAATGAGTTTTATACGGAAGTAAGCTGGCTTACGCACCTATGGTTGCTTATCAATGTTTTTTCTAAGTTATTCTGTTCTGCAGTTTCAATACGCGCTTTTCCTCTGGAGTCCATCCAATAATATTCTTGCTTTTATACTTAACTTGTCCATTTTCATAACCTTGGACTACGATCATTATAACATTTGCGTTTTTATTTTCTTTATTTTGATGATTGTTGATATTTCAATGTCATGTACCCATACAAACGTCAGATTATTTCAGTTTTTACTACTGAATGCGAAACTAACCTACAAAAGGAACTTTTTGATGTGCATAGTGTAACATAATCTTATTGTTTGTTATTTTTCAAAGGTTAAAGCAATTGAAAAGAGAGACTCGGTCTTAACTTCTAAGCAACAAATCGATAGGCTATTGAGACCAGGCTCAACATACTTTAATTTGAATCCATTTGCTGTGTTGCAAATTGATCCAACAACAGACTTGGATGAAATAAAAAAAAAATATAGACGTGTAAGTTGGACTGCTATTTAAAATAAACAAATGGTATGTATGTATTTTTGATAATCTTTGATTCCATTTTTATTTCAGATGTCAATATTAGTTCATCCAGACAAAAATCAAGATGATGCCGAAAGATCTCAACTGGCTTTTGAAAGTATGTTTTTGATATATGACATTTTTTCACAAATATTATCTTGATTGTTTTTCTTTACAGTTGTTAATAAGGCATGGAAAACCCTTGAATCTGAAGAAACGAGGGCTAAGTGCATGGATGTTGTTGAAGAGGCAAAAGCAAGAACAGATCACATGGTGAATATATCCGTCTTATTTTCATGACTGGTAACTTTTGAATAATTTCTTATACAGGTATTTTTATAGATTGCAGAAAAGAAAAAAAAATTTAAAAAAGACGGAAAATTAGCCAACGATGCAATTCTTGAGGAAGAAACAGATGAAGGCTACAAACATGCCATTTATGTTATGACGTCCAAGTTATTTGCTGATATGGAAAGACGAAGGTCTATTGTAGTTTGAATAAATTAACATTTGATAAAACAAAGTTTTAAAATAATTTGAATTTCAGGAGAGATCTTGCTCTAAGGGATGTAGAGCAAAGAAAAAGAAAACGAGAGGAAGAACTATCAGCAGAAGCACAGGCTGCCGTGGAACGTGAGTGGCAAAAGAATTTTGAAGAATCCAGACAGTCCAGAGTTGATAGTTGGAAGGCATTTCAGTCAGGCTCTGGAGGTGCAAAGAAAAAAAAAGAAAAAAAAATTAAAACATTTAAGCCACCAAAACCAAAAGCTGAGTCGCGACAGTGAGATAGATGGTGATAAAAATAGGTTCGATCATCATACCTTTAAAAAATTCATTTGAAATTCTCAACAATATTATTTTCAATTTGATCATCCCTGTAATGTACAAATGCAAATTGTTGTATAGATGATATGATGATCCAAATTTTTTTATAATTATTTCAAATAAGAATTTAATGGTTTACTCTGAAAAATCATAATTGTAGATTATGTATTTGAAAGTCTGACATAAAATTAAGAATCCGGCACGTAAGTTTATCATTTTCTTGATAAATTTTTATCTGATGAGAAACTAACATTCATTTCTCTATGCAGTCAACATCACTGAAACTTATAGTGGTTTTATTTGGATTCAGTTGAATAGAAAGTTATAGATTTTCTTGAAAAGTAGACTATCAAAATACTTATACCGAATCTACATTAATTTTGAAGTTTTTTTAACTTTGAACAGTGAAAGTGTGAACTAAATTTAATAATTAAGGGTTTTATGTGCATCTGTGAATATTGAAGTGACGATTACAATTGGACTAATTGATTTTGTGCAACCGTCTGTTCATTATTTCGTACTAACACTTATATATAAAATTGCCAGAGATAATTTGTAATCTTTTTGTAAAAAATGTGTTGTATAGTATTATAATTTTCAAGTTTTCTTCTAACACCATAGAACTTTATTGACAAATAATAATAAAAGAATTATTAAGAAACCAAACTATCATTTTTCAATCAGTCAAAGTATAAGTCCACAAAATTTTAATTATACTTGTGGAGTAAAATTTTATGCACACTTAATGGAAATTACCACAAAGGAATCCTGATGTGTAATGGTTAAAAAAAAAAAAAAAAAAAAAAAAAAAACGTATTATTTAGTATTGGCTTGATATCTTTTTTTAAGGGACTGTAAAAATTCTTTTTCAAAGAAAACTTGCCATTTAATTGTAAAAATCGGAAAAAATTAAAAAGCTTAATAAACTTTTTACAAGCAATATTTTGTCAACACTTTTTTTCACATAAGTACTGATCTCTACTGGCCCCTATACTTGTATATAATGTCTAAAGAATCGTATGTTTCAATAAATAAATAAATGAATAATGAAAAAAATGAGAATCACTTGCAATAACTCGTGAAAGCTTAAAAAAAATTTATTCATTAAGCGTAAAAAATCACTTTCCATTTTTTTTATACTCTAGTCCTACTAACTGTATGAATAAGCTCGAACTTGTAATGAAATAACGAAGTAATCCTTTATGTAGATTTCTCTCCATCGCAAATTTCAACTCGATTTCGGCGATTTATCGAAATCGTGAACATACATACTTACAACTAATTCCCTAGACTGAACATTCTATCCGCAAATTCTGAAGATTCGCAAACGCACAAAGAAAACTTATACTGAAACTGAACACTTGCATGCGAGTAAAAAAAAAGTCTTTTTCGATACTGTACATAATTATTTCCTCGTGACGGCGCAGTGAACGTAATAAAAAATTAAAGAAAACCACTCACAATAGTTGAGCAAAAGTATAACATTATGCATACCTACTTAACATTTATTGTTAATATAAAATTATTAAGACCCGAATGATGGGTATTACATAATTTGGCATAAACATTATTGCATAAATTGTTTATGTGTACATTATCTACGGTGTTATACTAATTCTAAACGGTAAATTATACAACTCTGCATGCGTAATAAAGTCATAATTTTCGATGTAATTTTGGAGCAGCAGTTCAGAGTACGGATTACTGAATGGTTTGAATTGAATAGAATCAACAAGTAAGAGTACTTATTATTAGACAGGAAAATCGGTGATCGGTGCACTGCACTCATGCAAGGTATACATGTATTTCAACACATACACAAGGTAGCATAAGTACATGTGTAAGTGTGTAGTGTCGCCAGTCGCCTCGTGAGAGAGCAACAAGTGGGCGAGACCCACTAGTATACACCAGCACCAGCTAGCCGGCGGTGTACCCCCTAAAATCTGGATGTTATACACACTTTTGATTAGGTTGTTGTTCTTTAAATAAAATGTGACCTCGTATTTAAATGTAATCACACCTGCTTATAATTATACATATATAATACTTACCGTGAGTGAAGTTGTCCTCTGTTGTCGCGCTTCTTTTCAATACATCTTATATATATATATATACTTACGTATCTGCAATTGTAGCTCCTCTTACCCACACTTAAGTATATATAAACTATGTATAAAATATACGAATTACAAATGCCATCGAAGTAGAAGATCGAAGAAGAAGAAGAAGAAGAAGGAAAAGGAGCGTGTGTAAACATGTGTGTGTTGCGTGTATCAAAAGAGTCTTTCTGACTCTGCAGCTGTGTGTCAGGCTGTGCTCTCTCTCTTTCTTGCTCTCGTGTGCGACGTCCGTCTGTCGGTCTCCTCTACGTCAGCTCGGCACCGACTTAAACTTATAATCCGCTTCTTCCCTCTTGCCCTTGGACTGAGGCGCCACACAAAAGCAGCAAGAAATCATCATCTAGAGACCCTCAAGTTCGAAAATGTTTAATTATTAATTTCCCCCCTACGAGAGGAAGATCGGTATGTATCGGTAACCATGAACGTGCGATCGGTCCCTCTCGAGTCAAGATCTCATTCGGCTATCGCTTCCTGAGGTCAAGAAGACATTGACTGCCGAGGGACCTGTGACAATAACAGCACCTGACCATGTCTGCGGAGGCTGCAGGCGTCGCCGATCCCATCGACGGGTGCGTTAATTATACCTACATCATCATCATCATCATTATACATATACATTGTATCATGTACCTCCAAATGTAATGTAAATTCACTTTGGGTATTTTTTTTTTTTTTTTTTGCTTCGAAAACATTACCATGTTTTTATACGCGAACAACAATCAGTTACGTACGCTCGATCACCTTCTTTTTTCGTCTCTTCACAATTATTAACACGCCGATTTTTATTCTATCCTTTTTCCGCAATGATAAACCTGATAAGTATACACGATATTCATTGTACAACCTGCCTACCTACTTGGATACTTAAGTACTACCTTTTACAAAAACATTTTACAATTGATTTTGATAAACCAAAGTACAGGTAGATTTTGCTCACAAGTTTGGTACACACGCGTGCAGGAGGCGCGGGGGGGGGGGTGATACCTCTCTCGAGCCACCACGGCACTCTGCTCTCGGGGAAAGGGAGAATTTACATTAAATACTAACTCTCCATGTAGCCGCGCAATCCGGAATCGGTTTTTCAATCGACCACTTGATTCGATTAAAAAATATATATATATATATA